TCCCCAGTGCTGGATTCTGGAACCCCAGGACATTGGGCACTAGGACGCCTCACACCATGGTGGGCCAGACCTGGGACCCTTAGCCTTCCCCATGCTCCTGCAGGTCCCAAAGGTACCGCAGGTCCCTCTTCAGCTATGCACAATGCACCCCCCTCCCCGCGCCAGGACAGGCTCCCCTCCACTCCCTCAGGAGACCTTCCAGCTCCCTGCCCTCGCCTCTTTGCTCAGTTTCCTGCAAACCTCTCAGCCGTGTTCCCAGCAGCAGGTTTCCTTCTGTCTGTCTCACTGAGTCCCGGTCAGGACTCTGCCTCTTCTCTCTCCCTTCCGCCTTTTGCTTCTGTCGACTGTCTGTCAACCTTCTACATAGCATCCACATAGGAAGCTGATGGTTAGCTTTCCAGGCAAGGCCCTCCCACCACACCAAGGACTGACCAATCCCCTCTTGATGGGCCACAGACACTTTATTTGCATAGCCTACAATCACCTCATTTACATGGTATATTGGCCCAAACATGCTTGGGAGTGTGGTGCAGTGCATGACTTGGCAGGGCTCCTTAGCCATAGTCTTTAAAACTGCTACCAGGTGACTGGACAGGACCATGTAAATCGGGGGGTATGAAACTCTCATGGGGCGGGGTGGGTGGGTGGAGTTGGTCACTGGCATTCACATGAGTCACCTCAGAAGCAGGAACCGGAGTCACACGACCATGAGAAAGAAGAGCCAGGAGCGGGCTACATCTTTTGAACACTGCGCCCTGAACTCCTTCTGTCCCAGAGACAGTGCGCTATGACACCAGAGGGGCAATTGGTGGGTGGCCGGGAGCAGCAGCCGCAGAACCGAGAGCACAAGGTGGAGGTGGGCTTCTCTGTCCTCGGACGGAGCAGGGAAAGGCTTTGGGCAGGAGGCTCGCCTATGGCCTGGTGGTCTCCAGGCACTTAATCAGGTGAGCTGTTTGGGGGCCTCCTGGAGCTAAGCTGAACAGCTTTTGAAAGTGGCAATGTCAGAGTGGCATGCCCTTTGGGCATTTATTGGCAGCACTGAAGGAGTTTCGTTACAGTGCCAGATCAGGGCAGAGGCCAAGGACCAAGAAAGAAGAACTGATTGGGGTTCCACAGCTCACTTTGAAAGCGATTTAACCATGAAAGGGGAAAAAATGTTCTAAAATAGATTGGGGTAATGATTGTGTAATTCTCGACATGATTGAACTATTGAATTGTATGATATGTGGATAATGTGCCAATAAAAACTGTAAAAAATCTATTTAAAAAGGTCCTCCAAGCAGAACTGGATCCTAAGTGTTTCTGATCCTAAACTAGACGTATCCTGTTAACTTTTCAAATCCACTCCATCCTTGTGAAGGTGGTCTGTGGGATGCGTGTGGCCAACTCGGGGGCTGGGTGAACCCCGCAGAGAGGTGGGCAGGCAGCGTGGTGGGGGGACGGTTGGTGTCAGACAGAGTGGAGGCATGTCTGACCTTCACCATGGCCTTAGCCTTGGGCTGAAATGGAGTTAGATTCTCCTCCCCCTGGGTGAAGCCGGAGGTCAGCATGGGCCTCCAGCTGGGGCACACAGGTCCAAGCACGCCAGTCACAGGGCAGGCTACAGGCCAGGCCAGACAAGGAGCAAGCCGACTTGACTTGTTTACAGCTGGCCCAGGAAATGTCAATCGATTTGGACAAATGAGCAAACCGTCTGCTGTAGACTACTGAGCTTGTGGGACACACACACACACACACACACACACGGGCTTCTCCTGGCTGCAGTAAAAACCCAGGTGACAGAAATTTTTAAGCCTGAGAGGAAAACTCCCTCACTCGTCACCCAAGCTGTGACCCTGTCTTTCCAGAACATTCTCTGCATGTTTGCACCCTGGGAGATGCACTTACCAAGTGTTTCTGTCTTGTGGCTTGTACAGACATTGCTGTGTTTGTAATGCACAAGCAGCCGTTTATTTGTAAACTTATGAAGGGTCCACTTCA